AAAATATACATTCTACCAAAATATGCAGTTTCAAGTCCAAAATTAGTACTTAGTGGCATAGCCACGTGACCTAATAATGGGTGCCAGTGTACGAGGCAAGGATTCATATAATTGTCTGATGCGTCCAGGGCTTAAGCTGGCCCAAGCATGAAACACTGAATATAACAGTTTCTCTGCTGGTTAGACGGGCATTTGTCAAAAGTTTTGACATATCATTCCACACATTTTCTATTATGTTTGCATCCGGACTCAGGGCAGGCCACATCACCCTGCGAATATCCTGTTGGTCAAACCAACCATCAACTGCTCTGGGCCTGTGACAAGGAGCATTGTCATCCTGGTGTACAAATGGATAATTCCTGTCACCAAACATGTTAGTAATAGATGGTAGCAAGCCTGACTCCATGTTTCCATCAACCATTCATGATTCATGTTTCCATCAACCACTATCAATTCGCCCACGCCATGGATGCTGATGCAGCCCCACACCATGATGAATATGCTGCTCCGGATTCGGCAACTTTGATCTACACTTGCACATTTCTAATACATACTACTACATACCTGTATGTTTCTTATTCGGTTTAAAAAGTACACAAAAATATCATTCAATTGAACAACAACAGTAGGTAACACTTAAAGAGTACATGTATGTGTAACGAACTCATGAATGCTTCCCTAGAGTATTCTGTAAGTGATTTATTTACAGTAATTACATGTAGACAGTCTCGTCCTACGCTGTACCCGGGCAGTTGTCTTCATAATAGCTGTATCCAGTGCGGGCCTGCAAGTCGCCGGATTGGGCAGTGCTGGTCAGAAGTTCACAGACACATTGGTATTTTCCAGCACAGAAAATATTTATGGCAACACATTTCCACTGTTGCATACAAGAACGGCAACATTCGGAGAGGCTGCGGACATTATGCGTGGATAGGTGCACACGGGTTGCGCGAGCATCTGCTCCTACCCTCTGGAACGTGGTTGAATTTGTAATACCTAAAAAAAATGAATTAAATATGGGACTTCAAAGATATAACAAAAAAGTAGCTGATTGACCGGTTATGTCGACTTAAATCAATTTATGAAATTTGTCAGATTTATAAATTTTAGCTAGTATCTTCAACTTTTTAAACACATACCTCTATAAAAGTGCATGTATTAGCAAAGAAACAATGTGAAATACTTGAGGCCCGCTTGTAAAAGTGATTTTGAGGAACGCATTAACTCACCATGGACCTCCACTTCACAAAGCTGCAAGTTATAGTCGTCACTACCAACTTTGATGATCAAGACATATCGTCCTGTCAGTGGTGACCCACAGGACAGTGATGTGTTCCCCTCAGGTGCCACCCCCGGGTAACTGGCGCAGAGTTTGTACTGGGTGAATGATGAACTATCATGGTATGAGGTTCCAACTTTCACTTCGAAATTATTCAGACGGTAAGCTGAAAATAAAAAGCGGCAAATTGTTAGATTTGAGTTTACACTTTGATCATATTTGTTTGCCCCTTAGCGACAAATTAAATAGCACATCAGTTGTGGAAAGTAATATTTTATCATGGAAAAAGAGATAAATGCACGGACTGAAAGAGGGACACAATTTCAGGAATTAAGTGGAAAAAAGATACGAAATATTGAAGCAAGACTCACAAGAACTATGGTCACGGTTTGTTATGATAACACCGGCAACCCTCGCCGTGGTTTCTAAGTCCACCAGCCACCATTCTCCCTGACCAGCATCGGTGTGGGAACAACTCCCATGACTCATTTCGTCGTCATAGTTACCGTCCACAGCACGACTGGCATGGTACTTATTTTGGTAGTTGGAACTTTGGTATGCGGGTTTGCCTTTGGCCAAACTCTGCGTGCAACCTCTGCATGGTGTTGTACCTGCCGTGGAAAGCAATCAATAACATCAATTATTATTATTATTATTATTATTATTATTAGTTGCCGCTATAAACTGGATGTTACAAAGAAATACTGGTATATAGGTAAATACTAAGATATAAATTTCAATCTAAAACGGATTGAAAGGACATTTAAAAAACAATTATAAATTCAGAAACAAATATATAACCACACAGATGAATAAAGTTATGATATTGTGCCTTGCTGTATATCAAATTATTGCCAAAAATCATTTTTCAGCTCTAAGGCGCGCGGATCAATATTAAAACGCCACTTTTGCCTTGTGCATTTTGTTACTGCCAAACTTACCTAAAAGAATCACAGTAACTCCGACAAGAAGCAGACTTAAGGCCACCATGCTCATTTCAGACATCGATCATCGTTTTTCTAGCAGTTTTCAATGGCAGACAAATCAAGAAAACGCTCCGTTCTTGCCCGGTTGTTGAGTTGCTAAGAGTAACTACAGAACTGGAGTAACTGAAGAAAATCCTAGGAGAAAAGTTCAGTTGATGCTTAGATCAAAAGATCGCTAATGCGACTTGTATTCATCAGTTATCTAATAGATGGATTCAAAGCTGAAACCGTGTGTTTTCTACGTGCATGTCGCATGGAATAGAACCTTATCATTTATTCATCTCTATATTATTGTAACATCTTTCCGTCCTGTCAGTGCCGATTGTCAATTATAAAATTTGTTTTGGTGTACTTTCGACTGCTCATCATTTAAGCAACGTTCGTTCTCTCTCTCTCTCGCAGGCGAGCCCTCACAATCAATAAAATTTCCATTACGTCGTCAAGGTGATAATAAGAGTAATTTTTAAAATTGCTCCCTGGTGTATTTTTGTTTCAGATCCATGCTTCATAGGTAATCAATTACTTTAAATTAAAATATGAGTGATATGTTCACCGTGCGTCCTTTCACATAGACATTCGAGCTTTCATGACACGTTTGCGAATTGTATAAATCAACATTATTTTCAAAGAAAACTAATTATGAATTATATACCTTCATAATAAGCCTTAGTTTTATAATCTGTAATCTATAAAACTTAGTTTTATAGATTTCAGGTTATTTTTCATCATCCATTATAAACTAATAAAGATAAGATGAAGATGATCCAGCACAGCCCTTTGTCTATCGCCCTACTTGACCAAACCCTATCGTTTTTTTATGTACAGACACAGATGTGTCTGTACATATAGCCATCATCTGCGTCTGTCGTCGCCGTCGCCGTCGTCGCTGTCGCCGTCGTCGCCGTCGCCGTCGCCGTGCACTTTTACCGATAACACAATAAGTGGAAAACTGTTTTTTCTTTTGGCTTGAAACTTACAGAACTAATGAATATTCATAATANTTTATAGTATTCTTGCACCCCTCTTGCAGCCCTTTGAGAGTGCTTCTTACAGGTTTTCCAATATGCAGTCCTGTTCGAGAGACCAAAAGAACTTAGTCATAATCGTCTTAACTTAGTGGGGACGAGAGGCCTATAAAGGGTACCGGAGGAGACGAGTATTAGTTAAACTTGTACCGGAAGTGTGATGTCATGTGACGTAAAGTGGTGTAAGACGCGAAGCTGAGCTGGAGGTGAACGGGAGAGAAGCCGTGTAGTCAGAGAAAAAAGCGGTTTTCCAAACAACATGTGTCCACAACCTCCTCTCAAGGCGACCCTCCAAGTAATTTGCTAAATAAGTTTTAAGTGAAGCCATGCAGTAGGCCTATTATATAGTCAATATGTAGTCGATGGTATCCTGTATGGGCAATTCACTGAATAGTATCATCCTGTTGAAAAAAATTCTAACCAATCCAACCTCTTAAAGGTACATACAAACTGAGCATCGGTGGAGCGTGGATTCCCAGTAACACATGTAAACCACTTCTACTAGATTCTTAAATGACTCAAATAAATTCGACATGCCAAGGGATAAACTGAATAGATCACTCGATCAGCCATAAAAGACCTTTAGACTGCTCGTTTCTTTAAATTTTTGGTTGTAAATTTAACCATGGACCTATCTCTCATTAGGTCCATGATTTAACCTACTATCGTGACCTACTTTCCTGCCCCATTGACATACAGCTTAGAATGCCAGCAGAAAAATCCGTTCAAACATCATTTTCGGGTAAAATTAAACAATGCCTTTTGGTAATTCTCTTAGTTATACTGTACTACTTGAAACTATATGTTGACATTTGGTTGATTTTTGTGACAAAAAAAATTGACTTTGACTTTGTATGTATTGTATGCAACAAGTCATATGACCTGCCCTTAAATGGTTCACGTTGTAAACGCTGCCCACCACCTACCCCCCCCCCTCCCCATTTTTTTTCGCAAATACGTTCTGCAATGCAATGAAACGGGTGTGAAATGTTGTGAGATGACGCTGATATGGCTGGAGAAAATCTCTCTCCCTCCCCCCTCTCTCTCTCTCTCTCTCTCTCTCTCAGGCGTTAAGATGATTGATAAATCTCCTCAAACGAATATCTGTATCTACAGTTGATATTTCCTTCTTTCAATACAATTTGTAAATGAGATTTGCTTAGGACTATTTGATTAGAGAATTAAGGTTCAAAACATAGAATCAAAGAGGAGGGAGAGATCGAGCAATGGCTTTTGAGTAGGAGAAAATTGCTTTTTTTTTCGAGAAAATTAATTTTGGCGGAAAACTCACGAAAAAGATACCTTTATATTATTTATACAGTAAGCTCAGAGATTAAAGGAATGGTAGATCAAGCTTTGCACTGATCCAACAATCATTATCACAAAAATTATTTGAGTTATAAAAATACAAAGTTGTCATACTGGTACAATAGATGATTTTACCTTATGTATGATCACACCAACATAACGGGTACAATAATTCATCTTGACAGAGAGAGACAATAATCGATATCAAGAATAAATTGCCAGATGAAAACATTACATTTTGATGTATGTGATGATCAAATAACTGTATTGGGCACACAAAAAGCAAAAAGTGTGCGAATAGGATAAAAAATGTAAAGATCACAAATTGTAAAGAATTCATTCAAAATTTCAGAAACAGGGTAAATTAGTCTCCTCATATTAAGCGTTATATAATGGCAGTTTAATAGCTTTTAAAATAAAAATATGGCTAAGAGGATGCATGATAAAATACTTAAAATAGAAGATACTACAAAAATGCCGAGAACTCTCCTTTCCAGCCAATGTCTCTGTGTGTCGTGTACATTGTCTACATGTATTATTATTATTATGAAACAGGATTTAAACATGTTCTTTTAATGAACTCTTTATACAAAATAATAAAAAGGGACAGGGGTTGGGCACAGGTGGTAATTTCTGACTACATACGGGTACTGGTATACTGTATGTAAGTCCCTGTAAAACGTCTATATATTTCCTTTACCTTTGCAGTTTGCACAGCCCATCAAGCTGCTTCTCAGTTACGTTGGCAGAGAATTTGAAACAAAACAATATTGCCTTGGACCAGGTAAGTGCCTGGCCCTCTCTCTCTCTCTCTCTCTCTCTCTCTCTCTCTCTCTTAGCCCCGAAAACTAAGTGCTTTGAATAAAACGTCTTTAATTTTGACTGAAAGACGTTTGCTCTGGATAAAATGCTGATCAACCACCCCGGTATGTTTTACATGCCGTTTTGTTAAAGAACCGCACTTTTTCAGCATCCCTCCTCCTTGAAATTGCTCTCTACATGGCCTGGCCTTTCTGTAATTTATACTAATTTAAAAACGCGTGCATTCTAAACCTTGTAATTTCAACTCAACTCTATGAAAAAAGTCAAAAATACTTTTTCAGCTCCAACATACAGTAATAAGGCATGGAAGACCGTGAAATACTCACTGGGCCTACCTTTCCCGAATGTATGTATAGATTAACCCACCGTTGAAACAAGAAAAATTATATTATAACATATTAAATAGACCATTTCTGTTTCACTTCATTACAAATGTCATGAATACGATTCAAAGATATAGGAAAACGAAACATTCAGAATTGCTTTATTTTTTCAGCTTCCCTATCTAATAGACGGTGACGTCAAGATCGTTCAGAGCCATGCTATCTTAAAATACTTCGGAAGACAGCACAATCTCTGTAAGCCCCAGTAAAACTAAAGCTAAGGAACCCGTTGCTGCTTTAATTTATTATAACATAGTATGATAAAATAACATTTTAATGTTTTTACTTTTTTCAAATGTGTATTTCGGATAGCAACGCTGGAAGCGGAAATCGAATAAATCCAATAATCCATAAGAATCCATATTGGCCTAGTCACGATATATATTAAAGATTGACATTTACAAATACTTCACACTTGAAATCTCTTTCAGGCGGTACCACAGAGGAGGAGCGGATACGGATGGACATAATGGAGCACCAGTTAGAGGATACCCTGAACGCGCATATCTCCGTCTGCTACTCCACCTATTTCGGACACGGAAAGCACGTAAATACATTTCTACATGTCAAGCCTATTTTTCTGATTTTTTGTGTTAGTTCTTTCCAAAAATGAGTAAGATTAACGGAGATGATAAAAAAAGAAAGAAATGAGCGTTGCGTCTGGTTTGATTTTCATCTAAAGAGCATTATCCAAACGATAATTAAATTGCTTCAACGATACCTAAAGGCCGGGTCACACTGCGCTTGCGACCTTTTTGCAACCTTTTTGCAACCACAAAATCTGGCGGTCGCTTGCGATCATTTTGCAAGCTAATTAAGANCGCAACCGAAAGACAAGACAAGGACAAATTATGCCAGTTTACCCATGAAATCTATACTCCATATTTCTTAAAATTTACAGACATATAGTCGTCAACAATGTCACGTTCTGGCCAAATGTTCATTTCACTGAGCTGGAAAAACAAAGTTGATCCATGTGCTTATTATTTCTGACACCATTGTTACCGATAGCTTGAAACGGAGAGCTAAATAATCGTCAAAGGCTTGTCTCAGTTTCATAATGATCAAAAAACATTGGCCCTGGTGACAAACATTTGAAATTCAAGTGGTGAGCTGCTGGCCAAAGGCCATTGAAAAACAACATGAAATGTTCAATATGACTATAAATCCAGTTTGATACTAGACAGCCTTTGCATTTTTCTGGTACAGCATGATGCTTTCTCTTGTGTCTGATGGTGTAGTGATATCACACTGGGAAGCTGTACTTTCTTTTTGGCTCTCACCAGCGCAGTTTTCATGTTTGTCTGCCACTGCTTCATCTGCTTGAGACTCATCCTATATAGGATACAACAAGAAATAAATACATAAGTTAATAAATTACACAAAGAAAAATACTTCGTTGTTAATTAACACATAAAATCTGTGTAGATGATAGAAATGACGCAGATCTGACTGCCTCTTGTCCCCTTTAGTCCGTCTCTAGTATTTCTAGTATTAAGAAAGATAATTATACAAATAAAAAGAAACATTTTATTTATAAATCTGTTATTATATCATGCGTTATATTTACCTCCACTTCATCGGATCTGATACTTTGCGAATTATTAAATGGAAATATGGATGGTATCGTTCCTGGCTTCAGTCTTTTTCTCTCATCTGCAAAAGGAGTGCACATAACGATTATTAATACAATAAAAATCAAGTTGTCCTAATTTGAAAACGTGGCCTTTAAAAAACCTTATGTATTATCACATAAAAGCGAAGAAATAATTGTAGTGGCTGGTCGGGGTTGACCCGGGCTCGGTAGCTTAGTCGGTAGAGTGTTTTCTCCCTCAAATCGCTACATATATGTTAGGTGAAGAATGTCTTAAAAATTAACATTCAAAGCACGTTAAACGACACAATTACTTAAACATCGATAACAAAGACCTAATGAATAAGTTGACAAACTCATTATTAATACTAAAAGCGACAACAGCAAGTACAACTTACGTAGAAGTGTAATCTTCCTCACGAAAGTGGAGGAAACAGACTTTGTCATGTGCCTTTGGTTTCCATAGTGTTTTTGATGAAAAATCAACCCTCCTGATGGCAACTCTCCACTGGTAACTCAGCTTTGTGTCTTTCGGAAAAGAATGACCTGCTGTTGACGATGTACATTCCGGAACACAACAGTATCCTGGCATTATTTAGAGCGATATTTACAGCGTCAGATCAAAAATGAAACTGCAAACACACGACAAAGTACGCGCATGCGCAAAAGTACCCCAACTAAAACACGCGCGCCACCCAGTGGTGAAAAAAAACTGATAGCCCCATTGTATACACTATACAGAACTTTGCATAAAGCAGAGTGAGAAGGAATAGTAGCGCTCGTTTGGTTAAACGCTGAGGGGCGAACCTAAGTGAAACCCCCGTCCGTGATTGGACAGGGTGTCTGATCAAAATAGATGCAGCATTGAATCCGAGGCTAAAGCAGAATGTTGAGAAATTGTGTAGCATCGAATCCGAGGCTACAAGCAAATTTGTGAAGTATAAGACCGTCGCCATAAATAAACGTTTGACTACGCCAAACTTCCCTTTCTACATGTCAAACCTATTTTTCTGATATTTTCAGTTCTTTCCAAAAATGAGTAAGCTTAACGGAGATGATAAAAAAAGAAAGAAATGAGCGTCGCGTCTGGTTTGATTTTCATCTAAAGAGCATTATCTTATCCAAACGATAATTAAATTGCTTCAACGATACCAACTAAAAAATACCGAAAAGATGAAAAAGCATTAAGTATCGGTTTCAACTTTCAGGAGGACAGGAAGGCAGAGTACCTAAAACATCTACCCTATACGCTAAGACAGTATTCGGAATTCTTAGCCGATCATCCGTGGTTGAAGTAAACATTTAAACTGGTTTGCTGGAGAAAATGTGAGTAGGCAGAAAATCACACTCAAGATTTTGAAGAAAATACTATCACGATGGGCGATAAACTAGAAACCAAAGAGAGAGAGAGAGAGAGAGAGAGAGAGAGAGAGAGAGCTGGAGAAAGAGAGAGAGAGAGAGCGAGAGAGAGTCGACATAAAATTATTTATAGCAGCTACATCCACACACTACATGCAGTAAACCGTGCAAGCAATACAAAACATAGCTCTGCCAAGGTACACTACACGGCCAAATAAACAAAAAAGATACTATTTTGAAATATGATAGCATGGATAAATGCTATTTAGTAATTGTTGTAAATATTGATTTGCTTCCAGCTCTAGAACTGTTCCATGTGTTAAAACAAATAAGTAACCCCGAATGTTTCAGTGCGTTTCATATACATCCAAAGGTCGCCGATCCATTTTCTCTAGATAAATATTATTTATTCCTTTTTTCAGATAACATTTGTTGACTTTATAGCTTATGATCTGTTTGACATCCATCGCGTATTCTCACCAGGCTGTTTAGACGGCTATAAAAACATAGCCGATTACATGGAAAAATTTGAGGTGTGATATTAGTACATACATGTACATGTTTTAATTTTATTTATTTTTTATTGAAACCCTTTAAACTGACACATGAGACTTACCCTCATCTGTATAGTTTCTTAATTTTTCCAAAGAAATGAAGAAAATATATTTATTGCTATAGTAAAGATTGAATTGCTTTAAATCTTCATGGTATTCTATAAGATTCCTTTATCATTGCATTGTTATATTGCAGAAATACAACATGTTTGCTTTCTTTTTTATTTTAAGGAACTCCTTGCCATTGAAAAGTACATGCACTCAGGCAAGTTTTTACGAAGACCTATTTATAACAAGCCAGCAGATTGGCGACAGCCTACAGCACTCATAAAAATTTATGCTTTCTGATATTCACTGTTGTGCTAGAGACTGAATGATACGAATAAACCGAAGGTGAAAGTGAATTCTATTTTGTGTCTTTAGGCAGTTTTCCTTTAATTACCTCTCACCTCGCAAGGTGCACATTGCTGAAAATCTGTTGTTGTTTTTTAATAAATTAATGTGATTGTAGTATGTAAACGAGAACGTGATCTTTTGTTTATACATAAAAATGCCATTACCAATAGGCTGGTTTAAGCCGTAATAGAGCATGCAGGATCCCAGAGGAATGAACATGCCTGAAAAGATAACCAATTTTCATGTACCTGACAATGACCTATACTTGCTTACACGTACATGTACCTATATATGAAAATGGGAGTCTGCCGCATTTCCAGTGGGTGTGGTCAGGAATTTGGGGAGTCTATGTTTTGGACCCCCCTACCACATCATTTTGTGTGATGGCACATAGTAAGGTATAAGCTCTGGTATCAACAGAACTTTTTTTCAGCAATATGATCAAAATATGTCCGTTAGTGATCTTTGACTTTGGTGATGTTCATCTGCTTCCACTTTATTAATAAAACAACTCCAATGCTACTAGAAGTCGATCTAGAGTTAATTTTGCTTATTTCAAACGAGAGATACACCATTTGTTATACTGTCACTTGAGTTATAGGTAAGCAAATGTTGTAATTCAATGAGCAATTGTGAATAAGAATTTATAATTACACTGAGCTTAATAAGCATACTGTGTATTTCTCGTGATAACATTGAGAGGAAAAAATCGAAATTTAGAATAGATTGCCAAGCAAAAACATTTGCATTATACATGTAAATCAATAAACAGTATTAGATAATTAATGACTAAACCAAAAGCAAAAATTGTATTGATAGGCAATATGATTAATGTTGATTTCATTTCAAGTAAAGATCTCACATAAAATGAAACTTTTGGCATTCTTCCAGTTGTATTGAATTTTTAGAAAATGATGGAAATTATCAAGATACATTGGGAAGTAATTTAGAAGTAAAGTGATTAATAATACCACAGCTGTTAATTTTCTAAATTAATTACAGTAATTAGGTTTGAAATTTTTGGTAAAATGGTTAAAATGATAGAACAGTGAAAAGACTAAGGGTGGCTCAAAAGAGTTAAAAAAACGCACTTTATGATATTTCTTACTAAAAATACCATATCTAAGAAGATGCATGATAAAATATAAAAAATAATTTGACAAATCCTTAAGCCTGGTCGACTTATAGAAAATAATTGATACTTGATACTTTTTATATAAATATCGATATCAATGATATTAAATTGAAATTAGATATAATTTTCAAATACATATTGAATTTATAGAAAATTTTAGAGGTTATCCATTTCTACCTTCTACCTGGGTGATAAAACGAGTGAAATGAAGTAAACATTTTACCATATATGAACCAATATTGAATCACAAAAGTATTAAACTATGATTATTTGGGAAAAGTAATTTTAAGAAACATTTCATAACAAAATAACCAATACACTGGCATTCCATTTATTTGCGCATAGGTTATATTGACAAAGTTATGTTGGTTTCAGTGAAGAATTACGAACATACAGTAATATCCCCCACAAGAGAATTTTAGTTGAAACTGAAAATCTTCAAATTCTGTGTCTCTCTGTAAACCAGACACATTACGACATTTTAACATTTATGTGGTATTACATGACCATTATACTGACAGAAACATGAACCTGTGAATAAATAATTAATAATATTAGAAAACATGTTGGGCTTTATAAAGAGAAGCAATGGCATCAACACAATATAGCTATGATGGTGAAATAGATATTCATATACAGTTATGCATATCGAAATAACATAACAACTGCGGAAGGAGAAAAAAATAAGATAGCACGTGCGAGAAATGCATATAGAGAAATGTTAGTCGGAAGTGTACGAATGCAGGGAGGCAAAAAGAAGTCTGCATTTTATCACGTGTTTATTTAATGGAGATCTATACGCGATTACCGGTCGTTTGACTTAACTATCCGTTTTGTGTCGGCTTTTCACTAGTTTTGGCCTGTAACTTTGATCGGCACTTGCCCATTCTAATACATACCACTAGATACACTACATATTCGGTTTAAAAAGTGCACAAAATATCGATAAATTAAACAACACTAGTAGATAATACTTGAAGAGTACGTGTTTATGTAACGAACTCACGTATGCTTCCCTAGAGTATTCTGTAAGTGATTTATTCACAACAATTAGACAGTCTCGGCTTACACTGTACCCAGGCAGTTGTCTTCATAATATTCGTATCCAGTGCCTGCCTAAAAGTCTCTGGATTGGGCAGTGCTGGACAGAAGTTCACATACACATTGGTTATTTCCAGCACAGAAAATGTTTATGGCCACACACTTAAAGCGGTCCGTACAGGAGATACTGCATTCAGTGAGGCTGCGGACATTCAGCGTGGACAGGGGACCAAGGGTTGCACGAGCATCTGCTGCTACCTGCTGGAACGTGTTTTAACTTGTATTACCTGTACAAAATAATAATAATGAATAAAACATTAATAGCTTCAAAGGGACTGTCGACATTAAATCAATTATACAATTTGTCGGTCTTATAGATTTTAGCTATTANGGTAACACTTAAAGGGTACATGTATGTGTAACGAACTCATGAATGCTTCCCTGGAGTATTGAGACTGTCTAATTACTGTAAATAAATCACTTACAGAATAATTCTGTAAGTGATTTATTTACAGTAATTAGACAGTCTCGTCCTACGCTGTACCCGAGCAGTTATCTTCATAATAACTGTATCCAGTGCGTGCCTGCAAGTCGCCGGATTGGGCAGTACTGGGCAGAAGTTCACAGACACATTGGTTATTTCCAGCACAGAGAACGTTTATGGCCGCACACTTCCAGCGCTGCATACAGGAGATGCTGCATTCGATGAGGCTGCCGACATTCAGCGTGGATAGGGGCACAAGGGTTGCGCGAGCATCTGCTGCTACCTGCTTGAACTTCATTGATCTTCTAAATCCTAGACAAAAAATAAATAAAACATCAATTCACTATAGGACTTCAAAGATTATGACGAAAACGTAGCTGATTGACCGGTTATGTCGACATTAAATCAATTATGAAATTAGTCAGATTTATAGATTTTAGCTACTAGTATCTTCAACTTTTAAAAAACATACATGTACATGTATTAACAAATTAACAACGCGAAATACTTGAGGCCGGCCTGTTAATGTGATTTTGATGAACGCATAAACTCACCATGGACCTCCACTTCACAAAGCTGCAATGCTTGGTCGTCACTACCAACTTTAATGATCAAGACATATCGTCCTGTCAGCGGTGATTCACAGGACAGAGACGTGTTCCCCACAGGAGCCTGCCCCGGGTAACTGGCGCAGAGTTTGTACTGGGTGAATGATGAACTATTATCGTAAGAGGTTCCAACTTTCACTTCGAAATTAGTCAGACGGTAAGCTGAAAATAAAAAGTGTCAAATTGTTAAATTTGAGTTTACATTTTGATCATACTTGTTTGCCCGTTAGCGACAAATTAAATAGCACATTAGCAGTGGAAAGATATATATTATCATGGAAAAAGATATAAATGCACGGATTGAAAGAGGGACACTATTTCAGGAATTAAGTGGAAATAGAAACGAAAAATAAAAGCAATTCTTACAGCAGCAGTCGCGACGGTTTGTTATGATAACACCGGCCACCCTCGCCGTGGTTTTTAAGTCCACCAGCCACCATCCTCCCTGACCAGCATCGGTGTGGGAACAACTCCCATGATTACCGTTGTCGTTATAGTTACCATCCACAGCACGACTGGCATAGTACAAGTCCGTTATTCCGTACCTATTTTGGTAGGTGGAACTTTGGTATGCGGGTTTTCCTTTGGCCAAATTCTGCGTGCAACCTCTGCATAGTGTTGTACCTGCCGTGGAAAGATATCAATAACATCGATTATAATAATAATTATTATTATTGTTATTAGTTGCCGCTATAAACTGGATGTTACAATGGAATACTGGTATGTTGATAAATACTAAGATATAAATTTCAATCTAAAACGGATTAAAAGAACATTTAAAGAACAATTTTAAATTCAGAAACAAATATATAACCACGCAGATGAATAAAGTTATGATATTGTGTCATGCTGCAGGCCCGTAGCCCGGGGGGAGGGGTTCGAAAGAACCACCCTTTTTGCTAGGAAAAGGTCCACTTTGGGTAAAATTTGAACTATGTACTGGAAGATTTTATGGTAAAAGGTCCACTTTTTCAGAAAACGAACCCCCCCCCCCCCCTCTGAAATTGCTGGCTACGGGCCTGTGCTGTATATCAAATTATTGCCAAAAATCGTTTTCAAAGCTCCAAGGCGGATCAATATTTTAATAAACTTGTTTTAAAAACACCACTTTTGCCTTGTGCATTTTGTTACTACCAAACTTACCTAAAAGTATCACAGTTACTCCGACAAGAAGCAGTTTTAGGGGCACCATGCTCAATTCATACATAGATCACCGTTATTCCAGCAGTTTTCAATGGCAGACAAATCAAGAAAACGCTCCGTTCTTGTCCGGTTGTTGAGTTGCTAAGAGTAACTGCAGAAAATCGTAATAGAAAAGTTCAGTTGATGCTTAGTTCAAAAGATCGCTAATGCGACTTGTATTCATCAGTTTTTATTGATAATCACTTATCTTAAATTAAAAATATGAGTGATATGTTCACCGTGCGTCTTTTCACATGGCCATTCGAGCTTTCATGACACGTTTGCAAAGTATACATGTGTAAATCAACACATTATTTTCAAAGGAAACTAAATATGAAGTATACCTTCATAAAGTAATTCGGTGGAAGGTGGTTGTCTCTAAATACGGCTTAGATTATAACCACTATAGAGGTTACTTTTCATCATCCAATATAAACTAATTATCATTAGATGAAGATGATCCAGCACGACCCATTGTCCATCGCCCCACTTAATCAAACCCTATCTTTTTTCTTTTTCGTCTATAGTACTCTTGCAGCTTTTTTTTTTTTTTTTTTTTGAGACCGAGGGTTTTTCAATGTACAGTCCTGTTCGAGAGACCAAAAGAACTTGGTCACAGTCGTCTTAACTTGGTGGGGACGAGAGACCTTTGGATTCATCATGTTGAGTTACAGTCCGTAGTCCAGCTGTAGATACACATATTAAAGATAAACACGCGCACGGTTGTTTTTGTTGCTATTGCACTGAAATTTTAGACATTAACACATTCCCATATATCCGCCTCGTTACCTGTGGCGTTCATTTATTTTTTTTACATATATATAATTATTCGATTTACATATCAAGCGGTGTTCTTTCGAAATGATTAGCTGAAAGCTACCTTGAACGATTCGTCCAAGATGCTACTTAATGCGCAAATTTCAATGCTGTTTTGTTCCAGACCGTCAAAAGGTGGTTCTGAATAGGACACTGTTTGTGCCAATTATTGACTGATAAAATAAAACGATTTGCCCTAGACTTTTAAAATTAAAGAATACCGGTGGCAAACCAGGGACCGAAAAGCCGCCAACATGTCTAGTTGCCTGGATCTCTTGCTCTCCTTTGTCGTTGCTAACCTACATGCACATGAACTGTGTCCACCCCTCCCCCCTCCTCTCAATGCGACCCTCCAAGTAATATGCTAAATAGGTTTAAAGTGAAGCCATGTAGTATTATGTAGTCAATAATTTGCTTGAAGACTTTTAAGCAAAAAAAAGATTAACCACAACACATAAGGGATATCAGAAAATGCATCAATAGCATTTTGGTCCATTGTACCACTTCTAGACGAACTAACTATTTTAATATCGTCCCTTGAGCTTTTGAAAATTGATTTTCCCCTTATTTTTGGTGTTACTATCAAACTAAAAATTTAGATCTCCTTTGTGTTTTAAGTTTCACTAAAATAAAGTTAAAGTATCATTAAAACAACTCCCCTGTCTTGATTCGATCGTATCCTGTAAGGGCAATTCACTGAATAGGATCATCCTGTTGAAAAAAATTCTAACCAAACCAACCTCTGAAACAAGTCGCATTACCTGCCCGTAAATGGTTCACGTTGTTGACGCCCGACCCACCCCCCTCCCCATTTTTTTTTTTTTTTTTTTTTTTTTTTTTTTTTTGCAAATACGTTCTGCAATGCAATGAAACGGGTGTGAAATGTTGTGAGATGACGCTGATATGGCTGGAGAAAATCTGTCTCTCCCTCCCTCTCTCTCTCAGGCGTTAAGATGATTGATAAATCTCAAACGAATATCTGTATCTAAAGTTGATATTTCCTTCTTTCAATACAATTTGTTAATGAGATTTGCTTAGGACTATTTGATTGGAGAATTAAGGTTCAAAACATAGAATCAAAGTGGAGAGAGAGATGGAGCAATGGTTTTTGAGTAGGAGAAAATTGCTTTTTTTCGAGAAAATTAATTTATATGTTATTCATACAGTAAGCTCAGAGATCGATGGAATGGTAGAACAAGCTTTGCACTGATCCACAATCATAATCACAAAAATTATAGTTGATTTTACCTTATGTATGATCACACCAACATAACGGGTACAATAATTCATCTTGACAGGGAAAGACAAAAATCTATATCAAGAATAAATTGCCAGACGAAAACATAACATTCTGATGTATGTGATGATGAAAGAACTGTATTGGGGACACAAAAAGCAAAAGGTGTGCGAATAGGAAGGATGAAAAATGTAAAGATCACAAATTGTAACACATTTAATTCAAAATTACAGAAACGGTAAATAAGTCTCCTCAAATTAAGCGTTATATAATGGCAGTTTAATAGCTTTTAAAATGAAAAAAAAAAAATTGGCTAAGAGGATGCATGATAAAATATTTAAAATAGAAGATACTACAAAAATGCCGTGAACTCTCCTTTACAGCCAATGTCTCTGTGTGTCGTGTACATTGTCTACATGTATTATTATTATTATTATTATGAAACAGGATTTAAACATGTTCTTTTAATGAACTCTTTATACAAAATAATAAAAAGGGACAGGGGTTGGGCATAGGTGGTAATTTCTGACTACATACGGGTACTGGTATACTGTATGTAAGTCCCTGTAAAACGTCTATATATTTCCTTTACCTTTGCAGTTTGCACAGCCCATCAAGCTGCTTCTCAGTTACGTTGGCAGAGAATTTGAAACAAAACAATATTGCCTTGGACCAGGTAAGTGCCTGGCCCTTCTCTCTCTCTCTCTCCTAGCCCCGAAGACTAAGTGCTTTGAATAAAACGTCTTTAATTTTGACTACAAGACGTTTGCTCTGAATAAAAAAATATTGATTAAGCAGCCCGGTATGTTCTATATGCCGTTATGTTAAAGAGGTGCACCTTTTCAGCATCCCTCCCCTTGAAATTGCTCTCTACCGACCTGGCCTTTCTGCAATTTATACTAATTTAATAACTCGTGCATTCTAAACCTTGTAATTTCAACTCTATGAAAAAAGTGTAAAATACTTTTTCAGCTCCAACATACAGTAATAAGGCATGGAAGAGCGTGAAGTACTCACTGGGCCTACCTTTCCCGAATGTATGTATTGATTGACCTACCGCTGAAACAAGTAAAACTACACAATAATATATTAAATATACCATCTCTGTTTCACTTTATTACAAATATCATGAATACGATTCAAAGTTACAGGAAAACGAGACATTCAGAATTGCTTTATTTTTTCAGCTTCCCTATCTAATAGACGGTGACGACAAGATCGTTCAGAGCCAAGCTATCTTAAAATACTTCGGAAGACAGCACAATCTCTGTAAGCCCCAGTAAAACTTGCTAAGGAACCCGTTGCTGCTTTAATTTATTATAAGATAGTATGATAAAATAACATTTTTTTGTTTTTACTTTTTTCAAATGTGTATGTCGGATATCAACGTTGGAAGCGGAAATCGAATAAATCCAATGATCCATAAGAATCTATATTGGCCTAGTCACGATATATATTAAAAATTGACATTCACAAATACTTCACACTTGAAATCTCTTTCAGGCGGTACCACAGAGGAGGAGCGGATACGGATGGACATAATGGAGCACCAGTTAAAGGATACCCTGAACGCGCATATCTCCGTCTGCTACTCCACCCAGGCCCGTAGCCAGGGGGGGTTCGGGGGGTTCGAAAGAACCACCCCTTTTGCTGGGAAAAGGTCCACTTTGGGTAAAATTTGGTCTAGGTACATGAAGTTTTTATGGAAAAAGGTCCACTTTTTCAGAAAAAGAACCCCCCTTTTAAAATTGCTGGCTACGGGCCTGCCACCTATTTCGGATGAATGGAATTGGTACTTAGCCCTGAAAGGTCAAAGATCCGCTGATGGGTCGTGGTCCTGTAAAGGTCAGGAAAATGCAGGGGGGGGGGGTAAGCACAACAAACTGGAGAAATTAAGAAAGCCTAATGTTCAGACGAGACGCCTTCCTAATGATGGCGCCTCGCAAACTGCGGTAGAGCTTGTACTGGCCCACAGACAAAAGACGGACCTCATCAGGCTTAATGTGTAGTCGAGTTGGGTTCCGTAAGCCTACATTTTTCCAGAACGAAATAAACGGATGTTTAAGGGGCAAATCAGCGAGGTAAGTATTAAGTTCGTTAACCTGATCATTGAAGGAAGGATGCGGTAAGCGTAACCTGCGATGAACCTGGTTTACCACCACATGCGCTACACCAAATTCGTCGTGAAAACGACGCGCAAGCTCTTCAATATCTTTACTTAAACTAAAAGGAGAAATGCCCCGGTCAGAGAGGTCATTGGATCCGATAAGTAAAACGACCAAAGCCGGGCGGACCCGGCGAAGGATGCCCAAATCGTATCGGACCAGTTTAGGGACCGTACGGCCACCTATTCCGTGCCAGTGTACCGATTCGGGGAATCCAAAGTCTTTCGCCGCGGGGTCGTCCCGACCTTGGTCGAAATATGATCGGAGCCTGTGTACAAAAGAGTGCCCAATGACCAGAACTGCCATAGTACTATAATAAGTCGCAAATTCAATGAATCAAATACAGAAGAAAACTTACTTGTGGCAGATCAGAGGTCTGTTCCTGAGAAAGCCAGTGATGCGTCGATCTATCAGCAGGATCGCAAGAAGTCCCAACCTAATGTATCTGCTGAATCCGTAACTGGTAACACAACAATTTGAAAATGGCGAACGGAAAGTTATTCTGACAATGGGGCTATACGCGGAGCCGTTTGTCCTAAAGAGGGCGCTGGGGTAATAGTGGTTATTGAAGATAGCCTCGTTTTCGCGTCCGTGTAGAAATGGCTTTAGAGTATGGGAAGCAAACGGTGGCGAAGTTAAAACTTCAACTAGTTGAAAGAGGAGCCTCCACAAGAGGAAANTTAACACACTTAGCCTGATCCACGTTTGTCCAAAATTCTTCAATGGCAGCCACCAATTGATCTTCGTTCTTGGTTTTGCCCAGTTCCTGATGAAATACTTCAGTTCAGCCCACAGCAGCTTGATAGGGTTCATATCAGGGCTCTTGGGGGGCGTCTGAAACCAGTTGTTGTGTTGTTAAAAAAATGTTGGAACCTAGCTGTGCCCCGAGAGAATAGCTGTAGTTAATTCAGAAGAGATACCTAAGTTTAACTATTTTCAGTACGTACTTACAGTTGATGAACAAACATTGACAATGTACGTATTTATATACGATAATACTGATTGACTCTTTTTTTTAAATTGCTGATTGCTGCTTAATTACCTTTCTTGCAGAAGTGGAATATTCAATCATGAAGAATGCCCTGGTGCACTTTGCTGTTCATTGTGCCAGTGAATGTAACTATTAGTGTTGCCCCTTTTTGCGGAATGCTTGAAATAGATAATATAATATCAGTCCATTAGTTTACATGTACATGTACTCTTATATTAAAGGCCTAGTTCTCACAGTCCTGGCTATTTGGATTTCATACTATTAAAACACTCGGTAAATTTTAATTCATCACATTTCTCCAAGTGAAGTTAACATATTTTTCACATCAGTATTAAATATTCCACTGTAGTGTCTAACCTGCCCATACATGGTTCTTGTACGGGTGCTCAGGTCTGCTGTGCAGTGGGCGTGGCAGGCTAATGTTGTTTCAGTTTTCATCTCTTATCACTTTCTGGAAAATATGTCAGCAGTTTCAGTCCATTTCCACTGTACACTCATCTGAAGTAAATGAGCAAATAGTATAATTAAAACAATATAATACAAGACACTTATTACTTTGAACTTATTCTAAATGTTTGTACATATCTTTTCAACAACGGTGCTTATATATATATATGGATTTACAAAGTGAGCAGAACAAAAGATCTGAAACGTATGCACGTAATCAACAACACATGTTGTATTTTGAATGCAGATCTGTAGATTTTTGTTATTAATTACCAGGAAACACAATGTCCTCAAATTTGTCTTCAACTGCCAGGGCCTCCCAACACTAGTTTACTCTTTTCAGACGGCTGACAATCCTCACAAGCTGGCAGTAGTCTTTGCTACTCTTCACCCAGCCAACATTTTTTCTTAATATCCATACAGAGCTGGAGTTATATGAACTTTCAGTTTATAAAATTTTTTCTTGATATATACAAATTTATTTGAAAGTGGTGTTGTTTTCACCTGTATGTTCTTTGATAATTTCTTTCAAGTCTTTGGCAACCAGTTCCTTATTCCTGGTCATCTTGTCATCAATGACTGTCTTATGAAGGTCTCTGAACTTAGTGGATCTTCCTGATCTAATGTGGTCATGTAATCCTTCTCCATCCTTCCATCTTGTCAGTAGATACCTTGTCTGCTCAGCTGGACATTATCTTGATCAGCATTTACACCTTTCAATTCTCTATGTCTGGCAGTCTAAAATGTTCAAAGTATATATGTCTACCAGCTGTATAATATTTCTTTAAATACGGTATTTATTCTGTATATAATAGATCAGCCCAGCATTATTGTATATATTATATTAAGTTATAGCCTTTTGGTAAAATGTATGAATATACCTTTCTGAACCAACTCACGTCCAAATCTTTCCACATGTTAAAAAGTTCACAAACAAATCTGCAGATATGGGCACCAACATGAAATCACATCATGGCATTAGAAAGGGTTAAAAAGAAGAAATCAGGAACATATGGTTTCGACTTAGTCTTAACGTGTATCCTTTGCTCTTTCATGGTTAACTAACTGCTGTTAGTCTGTGTATTCACACCGTTTAATTTGTTGTCATGCTGATCTAATTGTGTTTTTTCTCATATGCCAGAATAGAGCCAAAGCCAAGAATGACAATAGTCAAATGCTATAAACTCAATCACAAAAGAAAATTCTAATTTTATGAAAGATGGTTGTGCAGGATCTTATCTCTTGATCAGCTATACTTGGTATGATGATAAGGATATGTGGTTATACCAACATTCTCAAATAACTGCGTTAACATTATTTGAAGCAAATAGGCAAAAAAGGAAGTCATGATTCAAGTATTAAACTTTTCAATTTCTACACTAAAAAATAGAGCTATATCTAACAGAGCTTTTGATCACATTCATGATCTTCTTCAGTGTGATGTCATATGGGACGATCACTGCTCACCAGTGCTTTGGTGATTGCGTTGTCTCAAATATGTGACAATTGGTGCCTCCCCCATCTCTGTTCATGCTTGGGTTAATATGTGCCCTGATGTAAATGACCTCCTTTACCCCCCTTTCACACCAAGAAGGGTCCCTGTCCAAGATCTTTGCTGTCTCCCACGGGATTTCATGTCCTGGATAATCTACATGAATGTGCCTAGAAACCTCCTTGGTGGTGAGGCTCCGTCTTTTATGTTCCATCACTCTAGATATTAAAGTTCTTTCCGTTTCCCCGATGTAGTCTTTCTCACATTCACAGTTCTTGTTACCCTGGTACCTTATATGGTAAATTGCGCCACTAACCGGGCGGACCCGGCGAAGGATGCCCAAACCGTATCTGACCAGTTTAGGGACCGTACGGCCACCTATTCCGTGCCAGTGTACTGATTCGGGGAATCCAAAATCTTTCGCCGTGCGGTCGTCCCGACCTTGGTCGAGGTAAGATTGGAGCCTGTGTACAAAAGAATGCCCAATGACAAGAACAGCCATGCTACTATAATTCGCAAAATCAATAACTCAAATAAAGAAAAAACTTACTTGTAGCAAATTGGAGTTCTGTTCGTGGGAAAGACGGAGATGCGTCGATCTATCAGCAGGTTCGCCAAAAGTCCCGACTTGAAATATCTGTGAATCCGTAACTGTTAATACAGTTTAAATTGAAGATGGCGAACGTAAAATTATTCTGACAATTGCATACACTATAGAACCTTGTATAAAGCAGAGTGGGAAGGAATAGTAACGCTCATTTGGTTAAACGCTGAGGCGCGAACCTAAGTGAAACCCCCGTCCGTGATTGGACAGGGTGTCTGATCAAAAGATGCAGCGTTGAATCCGAGGCTTATGCAAATTTTCGGCAAGTTATGCCATAATAAACGTCTGTGATTGGACAGGGAGTCTGATCGCGATAGATGCAGCATTGAATCCGAGGCTAGAGCAAAAATGTTAACAACTTGTGTAGCATTGAATCCGAGGCTACTTGCAAACTTGTGAAGAATCAGACCGTCGCCATAAATAAACGTTTGACTACGCCAAACTTCCCTTTTTGTCAGTCTTATCTTTAGGATGACAAAGAATCTGTTTGAGTATTCTTTGAGGTCTAAAGCAAACATTCGCTTTGTGTTTTGTAGAAATTAGTTTCAGCTGTTCTGATCTCCCTTTCATGTATGGGATCACTATACTGGTTTTGGGCTTATCTTGTCTTCTCTCGTCATCCTCAGGTGTTGATTCCTTATCAGCTCCAACATTGTTCAGTACCTTTCTTATAGCCCAGCTGGGATACTTACAACTCTTCAGGGCCTTATTCACATGGTAGAAATTGAAAAGTTTAATACTTGAATCATATCCTACTGTTTTGGGTTGAAAAGAACAGAACTCCTTTTTGTACACGGTTGGCTTTATTTTCAGTTTATTCAAAATTGCTGATATTGATAAGCTGATAGTTGATAGCCGATAGCTGGTCACTAAAATAAAAATAAAAATACAATAATATAATATATTCAAAAGTATTATATAAAACAATGATTCTCATAAATTAAAACAAATACACTTACATAAATTGTGGAGTCTATATCTTATAAAGAGAGTCATGTCCTTCTCCTGTCCTTCTCAAGTAAAGTCGGTGTGTGCGTGTGATCTCAGTAGGTGTGGTCTTTTTTATTTATGCATTGCATGAGTGAGTGACCACATTTCACATTTGCTTGACTGAAGAGTTTTTGTCAATATTTTGTGGAATCCCAGAACACCTACAACTACACAGATGAATTTCCATCAGAAAAAAGGAAGCCATTGTTCATTTGATGAAAAATCTGTTTCATTTTCCCCGAGCATTTTATCTGCCTCAAGCACTCACTGACAGGAAGACAAACAAGTATGAATAGCAAGCAGGCCAAAAGACTGGCAAAGGCACCACACTGGAAAATGGCGTTAAAAAGCTCACAATGACAGATACGGACAGAACTGACGGCTGGACAGTAAGGCAGGCAGACAAAGAAGTATAAATATCAAACAACACAAAAGACTGGCAAAGGCACCACAGTAGAGACAGTAGAAAATTAGATAAAATTGACAAGTGAAAACGGCAAAAGAGACAAATAAAGACTATCAAAACATTAAAAGCAAGACCCATTAAATGAAAGCAACAAGAATAAACAAATAAACAGAAATATGTACTAATGAGTAAGTACTGTAAAAGAAAAATTGATGTTAATATCATAAGAATCTGCGAACATGTGATAATCACCTTCCAAGGGTTATGGAAATGGACGTATGTGAAGCCAAAACAAGGCTGAAACGTGGAAATGGCGAGCGTGCATTTTTTATGCACATGACTGTGAATTGATTTGTGAAATTCCTAGCTTAAGGCAAAGTTCTTTACGTGCTTACATTGACGGAAAACTGAATAAATTTGCCACAACTTACTGGTAATTTTGAGTTGTGTGGAGGCCTCTGTAGATACAAAAATCAAAGTTAAAAATGAAATGATTTTAATAAAGGCCAGGGCAGGTGTGTCACAGATGAATGAATGAATGGATATGAATACATGTTTACAATGGCAGATAAAT